AACTGAATTGCCACTGTTATAAATAATAACAGATTTTTTTCCTTCTGAACTTCCTCTTGAACCTCAACAAATACATAAGCTTGCTTTGCTCTGCCTTCCACCTCCTACATTTTGTTGTTGCATTTTCTAGTAAGCATTTTCTATCACCTTCAGTGAGGGCATTATCTTCCTTTCTTAGCGGAAGTTAGAAGACCTCACAAGATCACTGATGACATAAAAGGGACCGTGTTTTAAATTAAAAACAAACAAACAAACAAAACCCAACAAAAAACCCAAACCTGCTTTCAATTTTTCTTTTTTGTCCATTTCAATACGCAGACCTCACATTCTTGGAAAAGCCACGTCTTGGAAAACCACAGACAATCCCCACTCTGACGCTTACAGTGTAGTGTATTAGTACTAGATTAATTTTTTAAAAATCAAAAGTGGAAATGAAATATATCTGCTTCTCTCAGGCGCAGAAGAGCTCCCCTAGCTGGGTACCCATCAGGCTGCTGGACTGTGCTATCAAGCACCCCTTAGCCCAAAAGCAGGCTGCAGCACTGGGTTTGGCTTCATCTCAACACCTCCCCAGGTCGTGCTCTGTGCCCAGCTCTTATGTCAGGCAGCAGAGACCAGCAGGTGTGTAACTTTACCAGTCCTCAGTTAGGAATAACTGGAGAAATTCAGGAGAGAGAAGGGAGCAACGCACCCCCTCCCTTCCGACTCCACACGTGCTGTTGGTCCCCAAACTCAGCTGCCAGCTTCCCTCAGTCTGGAGGGGCACTGAGGGGTCTCGTGCCTTCCCGCTGCCCCTGCTCTTTTGCAGAGAGCCATTGGGTGGTATGATTCGCATGGCGACTACTCGATTATATTAACCAAAACCTGAAGCTGTACACCTGCCTTCTCTCAAATCAGCCCACAAACTCAGAGGTCTGAGCTTGTTCCAGTTTAACTAGCAGAAGGAGTACACAGACCAAGACAGTTGTGAACACTGGTTTTCCTGCCCCATTTCCTCATCTTTCTTGCAGGTACTGAAGAGTGACTTCAGAGGTATGTGCAGAGACCAGAATTACCGCCTTCTGCCTGTGGCTTTGCATCTGAAGCCTCTTCCACTCAGCTGCTCACCAGCCCCTGGCTTAGAAGTCTTCTCTCCTTTTGTCCAACTTTCCACTTTCTTCATATCCTCTAAATTTCCACTGAGTCTCTCAAAACTTCTGTGATATTTTTGACCTTTTGCAGGCCTTCAATCTCTGTTCCCCTTTGGGGGAAACTCCACTGCAAAAAATCTCTTCTGCACCAGCCACCTCACCTGGACTGGCTTATCTATCCCACCATTCTCAACATGTGCCTTCTGAAGTGTGTGCTACTAAGACTGGACTCATATGTGAAACATGTGGTATTGCACATGTTGAACCATCTGATGACAAAGCAACTTCAAAAGTAAAAATATTGTCCTAGTTTGTCGGCTTCTTGAAGCTTTTTAAGCTGCCATTAACCACGGACTTCCTTTTGGCTGAAGCCTGTGAGTGACAGTATGTGCAAGCAGAGCACTCATTAACAGCCAGGATGTTTGAGGGCGGTGCTCCCTGTGCAAAGCATATTTAATTTTATCAGCTAATCAAGCTATTTTTAATCACAAAGCGCTCTTTGAAAATTACAAGAGCATGAGAGAGCTGAAATATGGCTAGATATAGAGGCAACTATTTCTATTTTGAAACCTCTGCTGAAAAGATAAAAATGATTCTGAGGCTGAAACGTGGCGTTCCAGCATTTACTGTCTCTCTTGTCAGTAGAAGTACCATGGGAGATGGAAGAGCAAAAATTAAGTTAGAGAGATAATACACAGGAAGCCAATGTTATGTTGGATTAGAAACAGCCAGTACTTTCAGTGACAAGCTTGGAAACTAGAAAGGAAATACTGCTGTACTAAACTATGCAGAACACGTTATGCCTATATTCTTTTTTTTTTTTCTGCCTTCATAAAATAACATAAAGCACAGAATTATCACCAAGAGAAGGCAGGAGCTAGACACCAAATGGCCAGGGTGCTTCGCATATCAATGAAGAAGAACCTGGCTGCCTCTCTTGGGTACTGAACTGTCCTGCTCTTGGAAGGAGATGCAGAAGATCCTCTCTATATGTAAATGGTGTTCTTTATGGTCCATAGAAAAAGCCTGAACAGGGGAAAGTCATCCTTCTTATCTGTGCTGAAGACAGAACAAATTAATACAGAACTGAGAAACAAGAAAAGCAAAAGCCAATCTCTTCCCAGCTCTATTTGGACCAGCAATCCACTCCCCAACGTTCAAATTGGGTACTTCACGTGACCCCTCAGGAAGGCTGGAGCTCGGTGATTTCAAGCCTAGCTCAGGCACCCGATCGGTGGCAAAATGGCTCTGTTGGAATCTCTTCACACCAAAAAAGCCCAAACCCAAAACAAACAAACTAAACATTTACAGGCTAATCCTCTTTCAGCAGAGGAACTGACATGAAGGTGCAGAACAAAACATTTTCTGCAATTCTTTTTTGGTTTGATCATCTGTTAACAACTGACTACGTTTTTATCTTAGTAAAGATGTAGCTTGTGGTAAAGTGATTTGCATCTTTCACTTTTTCCAGAACACTTGCCACAGAAGTTTGTAGCTCCGTTGCCTGAAAAAAAAATCAGCATAACACATACATAGTTTTATTTCTATGGTTTCTCATTTGTCTGGCAGGCCATCTTACGCTGCAAGATGTTTCATTCTTTTCAAGACAGCTTTACTTTAGTTAGGCTGTTTTAAGACCTTCACTTTAGTTTTTAGACAAGTATGTGCCATAGAAACCAATACAAAATTAGTTTAAAATAACATGTATTGCACTGTGGCTCCTCTGTCAGCGATGGTGCTGATGCTACTGCCAACTCAGTATTTTGTCTTACAAAGTGGAAACCCCAGCAGCTCAGAGCTATCCATTCTCATCTGCACTTCTCAGGATCCCATCTTGGCAAATCTTCCAAAATTACTATTTTGCATGATGGCACAGAAGTCAACTACGCTGGAGATACCTCTCAAAATGCTAGATACGCGTGTTCTTTGGATAGGGGAAGTTTTTTGGGCAAGACTGTGACCTGGTTTTGGCGAGTGTGTTTTTATTCTGTTCTCCCTTTAGTTGCTTGAGCATCTGGATGAAATCGTGGCCTTTACAGAGTCAGAGCTGAAACTCACACTGGTGTATCTTGCTGTTTAAAAAGCCCAAAGCCATGACGAATATAAGCAGTGAAATGTATGTTGGGGCAGAATTTCCTTTCCAATGCCATCATTTCTACATTCTTCTGCTCAGGAGCCTACAAATCTTGTTTGGCACCATCTACTCACTCAGCACGCCATAAACTGCAGGAAGCCCAGTCTTTAACACTTACTTAACAGAGGTCAAGTAAAGTGTTAGCAGGCAGACTGCTGGCTCACCACCTGGACAGAAGAGAAGCGTGCTTTTTCTCTCGCATTGCTTTGTGCTCCTCGTATTTTGCCCGACAAATTTGAAGTAAGATTATTCTTCAATAGCTAGACATTCAGACTATGTGCAGCAGCTGCAGACTCCATATCTATATATCTATACTATAGAAGGAGCGTTTTTAGAACCTGTATAACTAGTGGGTCATTTCTGTGCCCTGTGATCTTGTTGACCAAGGTTGTGTAATGTGCCTTACCTCAGGTGCATACATACTACACAGGCTATTCTGGGAGTCAAAGCATCACAGACTGAGGGCAAGAATTGTGTTATCCTTGCCGAATTTCACTCTGCACGCCACACTTAAATGTTAGCAGTGTTTTACAGAGGATGCCATCCATTGCCTAGAGACAGTCAGACTAGGACAGTCAGCAGCCCCCGCTACACAGTCAGCAGGACGGGGACATCGCTTTCCTGCCAGGTGGATGGCTTAACCAGGAACACGGGATCGTGGTCCATCTCTTTCTGTGAGCTTCTTCCAAGGTCAGGCAGGGGCTGGGCTGGAGATTTTGAGACTACACATTTGAATTTAAACACCTGAAGTCAACATCCTGCTGACTCTCCATCCCACAAGAGACTCATTTAAGCTAATCTTAGATGTCTGAAAAAAACTGAAGTCTAAGTCTGAGCTGGTTATGTTACCCTCCCAGTGTAGTTAATAAAGAGAAGGGTTATCAGAAGGCTATCAGACACCCCAGACAGGTTGAATGTCTCTGTGGGTGCCCATTCCTTCCTACCAGCTGCAAAGGGTGACCAGCTCAGACAGACACGAAACTTTTAGATGCATAAACCGGAGCAATGAGTCACGATCGAGATGCCTGTGTCCCATCAGCACGCACACAAAAGCGCGGCTGAGAAATCCCGCAGCTCTCCACAGCGCCGAACTGCAGTATTTCTGAAACCCGCTGCAGATTTTAATAGCTGTCATCCATCCTAAAAATACATTTGCACCTCTTTTCGTTACCGTAGCGTATTGTTTCTCTGGAGACCTGGTGGATGAGAGGACCAAACGCTCCCCCTCAGGACAGCCTCAGCTGCTGGGTCCCTAACATACCTGGCCTTTTCGCCCTTCCCCGGGCGGGGGTGACTCCCGAGGTGCCGAGCCCGCCCCTCCGGCCCTCCCCGAGGGGAGGGAGGGAGGGAAGGGGCCGGGCGACGGGTGGTCCGGAGCCCCGGCAGCGGCGGCAGC